AATGCTACCCAAGAAAAGAAAAGAAAAAACTGATTGGGTAAAATTCTGACTATTCCTCTAGATTTTATAAATCAGGCCTAGTGTTTTGCGGTACAGTTACTTGCTGTTGCCATACTCTCATCAACAATTCGTATATACTCATTTCCACAAGACTCCTATTTTACAATTTTACATTTTACAAAGACTGATGCTAAATAAACTGGAACTAAAATTGAGGAAAATGGGCTATGTACAAAAGCTCCACTTATTATTATTACTAATTATTAATATACAGTAAATGTATATAGCACCAACAGTTTGCACAGCGCTTTACAATAAAAAGGAAGACAGTACACTTACAATACAATTCAAGACAAGATGGTTGCTCTTGCTTTATTTGCACTGGTGTTTTTTCAATAGATCCCGAAATATGAAATTGTCAACATTGTTAGTTTTCAGATTTATGCTACAACTGGCTGCACAGTGTATGTTTTTGCTGTGAGCTTACTTTAAAACGCTGTTTGAATCACTACCTATGTGCTAAAAATTATGTCAGCTATTTGTTTCCCCCTTTCTAAGGTCATGGGATAGGCTTTGTAATAAATGAGCTTTGTACACTGCTCACGTTTTTTTTACTCCATAGTAACCAGCAGAGGAAGTCATTATTTGGAAAGGATCCTCATGCATTCTGGGATTTGTAGGCTTTAGCTTGTCCTCCATTCTCTGGCGATGTAAACCTGTATGCCCATGACCCCTCCTATGTCCTTTGGTTCAGTATTTTAAATGCGCTGCATTGTGTTTGTGTGGTGTCATAGGGATTTGGCATCAGTCAGGACATGCTGACTGGGCACGGTTTTCCTGGGAGAACAAAGACAGCCTCTGTGCCCACATAATCCCACACTGTTGAGAAGGGAGAGAGGAGCGGAGGGCAGACACCATCAGTGAGGGATATATGACAATGAAATCCTAGTTACCACTAATGTTGCACAGAGAAAACTGATCATATCTACAGTTTAACAAAACTGGCAAACTGCAGCTGGCAGAGTACTAGGAGATATGGAATCCAAAGACTGAAAAGGGAGATTTACCTTTTGTTGCATGTAAAAGGTGCCTAAAAAGCACAATGTACCCATTACACACCATGCCAGCAAAGCACAAGAATGCAGGAGTGTGAGAGGAATTTAAAGCTGTTTGTAACTAACTGGCTGAATCTTTTGCTACACAGTATACAGCATGCATGGCCTTTTTGATTTTTATTAGGTCATGTTTCTTTTACAGTATAACGTTATCAGAAGATAGGCTCTATAACTTAATATGGCCATTGAAGTAAATCAAAACCCTAACTAGATGGCATTTAGTTTGCTGAAGCAATGGGTGTCTTAAATAATTTCCTTACTTTCTATAAAAAAAAACTCACTTTTGTATATACTTTTTGCTGTTGATCCCCTTTGTGGCCCCGTTCCTGCCTACATCTTTGCACTCTGACAGCTGCACATCTTTGCTTTGGATTCCACCTTCAAGGGCAGGTGTAGGCTCCACCAGCAGGCATGTAGTGGGGTGACAACACAGGAGCACAAAAAAGAAACAGATGTCTCTTTATATCAGTAAGTGCCTGAACATGGCAAGATTACCAAGTATTCAGTTAAAGCAGAACTAAACTCATATTCAAAAAAAAACTGTGACAGTTTGACATTTTATGACAAGAGAGACTCTGTTATGTCTCCCATCATAAGTGCTTTTCCTGCCTGTCAGATTGTGCAGCTCAGTGTACATTCCCAACATGGGTATGTGCTGGGGCAAAGTTACATCATCCCAGTCCGTCAAATAAACATGGAAGAAGACTCCAAACCTGGAAGAAGATCAGCCAGTGACCTGAAAACACTTTGATGATCATAAATTGGAACACCTCACTTTGTTTAATGACCTCACTTTCTTCTGGTGGAACTAGAAGAAAATCGTCAGCCCCTGTACACCTCATCAGTTTGTTGGTTCCCGGACTGTGATTGTTCCCGATGGTTTGGTGTTCAAGCAAAGATGAAAATGCGTGTCTGTAATTGGTCACCCTAATGTGTCCATGTACCAGAATGATGAAATGATGAAACATGTAAGCAATAACATATTAACTATGATTTTCTTTGTTCTTATCTTCAGCTATTATCAACCCTAAGCAGCCAAAGGAAACTCCCAAAAGCTTCAACTTTGATTACTCTTACTGGTCCCACACTTCAGTAAGTAGCACACATCCCAGCACATAGAGCGGCAATTGTTCTAGTTTTTAACTTCCATTACATACTAAATACAGTACATGAATATTACACAATTAAGAACAGCTAAACATTTGTAAGAGCTATTATTTTAAACATATAAGAAATGTCATGTTTACTGTATTAAGAACTCACTTTCTAATCTGTGTAGAGAGGAGTTAAATGTATAATTTTGCCCTCTGTTATATCTTTTGCTTATTTCATCTATCAAATGGCTTCTGACAACATGAAAGGAGAGGCTTAGAGTGTTTAGATCTCTTTTGTATATATCAGGGTAGGCAACCTCGGCACTCCAACTGTTATAGAACCAGTAGAGTCCCATGAGGCATTGCCAGACTCTGACAGCTACATACATGACTCACAGAGGCAGAGGCATGATGGCATTTGTAGTTGGAGTGCCAAGGTTTCCTACCCCTGATATATATGGTAAATACGGAATTTTATTAAAAGAGATATGCAGATAAGGAAAATAAAAATATAAATTTTTTCCCTATAATTTAATTACAATACTGCCCAGTTTAGGAATAGAAGGATACATGTCTAAGAAGAGGAGTGAATAAGGTGGACTTACAGGATAAAACCACAAAACCAAACAAAAATGCTTAAAGCTTTATTCTCATAGCTCTCAAATAATTCATCACATGTGTAATTAATGCATTCAAATTATATTAGGCTAAAACAATTTATTTGATTTAACTCATATTCTCAACCCAATTAAGATACAAGATTGGGGAAATCAGGGGCCCAGAGAAAGTTATTTTTACACACTGCACTGGTGTGACCAAAGATCTATAGAACAGTTTGTACAGGATGCCAGGAGTGGGTCCTGGATGGACAGTATATCCCTCCCTTGTTTAGGTGGTGGTCCCGTTAAGGTCACCTTGTATTCAGAGCCTCCATCCCTGACTACAGCCAGTTCTGGCAATGAAAGGGATAAATCACCAGCCAGAGGGTGTGTTAAAAAGGAACAGGAAGCCAGTCAGTCTGTCTGTGTGGAGTGTTTGGAACAGGACACATGGCTATGTGTGTTAAGCTGTGGAATACAGTCTGCTGAGACACTGCAGGCTGTGACTCTAACCCTGAGGTGGGACATAGTATACAGGCGCTGAGCCGAATCTTGTATTTGCTGAATATAAGCCATTTACTTTGACTGTTTGTGGAAAAAAATAAAAGTGCATTTTCTGATACGGCTGGCTACGGGTCATATCCGCCCTGAATATTACAAGTTATACACAAAAACTGTCCCCACTGGTCCTAAATCTCACCGAACAGGCTACAAACTGATGGTATAATCTTTTTTATATTTTTCACAACTATCTAGTGCAAGGGCCTCCGTTGTAAGATACAAGGTGAATGAATAGTTTAGGTAGGTCCTATGATTGTAACATGTAAAGAGCATAAGGCTAGTTCTGCAACAGGCAATGATGCAAATGGCTTATAGATTTCTATTTTTATTCACAAATCATTTTTTACAACTTTTTGTTGCTACTTCAGTAAAGCTGCCAAGTAGATCCCTAAGGTGACAGAGATTGAGATCTGTATACTATAGAAAAACAACGATAGTTCAGCGTGTAGAAGGTTGTTCATTATTGTATCACTCTATAGAATGAAGACAGCCAGTTTGCTGGACAGACACAGGTATACCAAGATATCGGGGAGGAGATGTTGCAGCATGCTTTTGAGGGATACAATGTCTGCATCTTTGCCTATGGACAGACAGGAGCTGGTAAATCATACACTATGATGGGCAAACAGGAGCCAGATCAGCAAGGAATCATACCTCAGGTAACAATATCATCATGTGTTGTATGTCTGCATATATGCTTACGTACGTGTGTGTGCTTGCAGAAATCTGATTGAGTTCCATAGCAAATCCCACCTTCAAGATGTTCAAGATGCCTGGCTACAAATCTCTTAGGCAGCTCCTGCAGTATGGTAGTAAATACATTGGTAGCAGACAACAATAACCGCCTATCTCAGAACATAGAGGAGTGGTCTGGTGGAACTCCTGAGGGGGATCATGCATAAAACCTTTCCCTTGATCCAGGGGGGTATTGTGCTCATATTATTGTGTTTTTCATAACATGGAATATCATGACTAGGTCTTCAAATCAAAATGACCTATATTTCCCAAATGTTTCCTTCTTTAACCTCTTGCCGTCCGCCCGTAGTAAAAAAACGGACGGACGGCACTGCTGCATCTGCGGGTTGCCGTCTTTTTTTTCTGCTTGCGTTTTTTTTAGCGCTGAATACTGAAAAATGGCCTGGATGGGAAGGGGGTTTAACACCGCGGATGTCAACTGGTTAATATAATGCTGTTAAGCCAAGGCTCTGAAATAATTCTGGATGCTTACATTGAACAATTCACACAATTCATAATGTACATTCATGTGCCTATGCCCAAACTAGCTAAATTTCTACAGGTTGAGCGACGGTGGCATCCAGCATTACATGTTTCCAGGGGCATTGTGCTAAAGCACCATTTCCCCATCCCATTCCCTCCACCATAACCAAGTTGTGATTTATGGTGCATGGCTAACCTTGGAACCGTACTTCTTCTGTGGATCCATGCCTGAAATGTGTACCAGAGCTGCATTAGCCAAGAGTGTTACTAGGGTCTGCTGTTGGGATTTTTTAGTCCTGCATACACATACTAGGGCCAATTTAGACAATAGCTAATTAATCCATGAGCATGTCTTTGGAGTGTGGGATGAAACACAGGAGTAACCAGAGGAAATCCATGCCAGCACAGGGATCAACATGTAAGCTCTATGCAAATAGTGTCCTGGGTGTTATCCAGATTGAGAACTCCGGTGCTGCAAGGTATAAGTCTTAATCACTAAGCCAATGTGTTGCCCAAGCAGATATCTATATATATATATCTTTATATACATATATTATTTTAAAGTTCCTTTTTATTTAACATTCAATTTGGGAATGAATAGAGTTCCTGAACGAAAACCACATTCAGTGTTAGAAATCCGTCCAGTTGAGAAACAATTTCCAACACGCTCCTTCGAATTTTTTAGTCACTGCGGCCAAAATTGATCATCGATTTGACCCCATCAATAATTAGAAAGTTGAATGAACGTTCTGAAATAGATTTTGTTCGTTTGAAATTCTCACCGTGTATACCCTACTTTAGGCTCCTGGCTACAATGTTACTATAAGCGTTTCTAGTGTGATGGAAGGCTTATTCCAGCCAGACCATTGCAATATAACACGTCTGTAAATTGTTATGGGCAGAACGGAGAGTGGCAAGACTGGTACAAGACAACAGAAGGGCAACAGTGCAGTGTCAGATTCCTCGCATCACCTTTCAACATCTCGTGGAGTCACGAGGCGGTCCAACCAAGTCATGTCGTGGAGTTATCTTGTGGCCCAATGAAGTACTGATGGGGTGGTCATTATAATCTGGCCACTCAGTGTATGTAACATATATTATTTTTAATTACATTGATATCATTGTAAATGTCTGTTGTTTTAAACTTTACAAATGATCAATGAAATAGCTTTTGAAAGTATAAGGTAATGTAAGGTAACCAGACCACTTAATAATAAGATCCACTTGGGTCATTTTCCGGAACGCGTCATGTCTGGTCATTGTATTCAGTCATTTATTATTATCTGCAAGACTATTAACCTGTTGTTGGACCCTGGAATCTGCAGCTAAGTACATTACTTTCCCAAGAAAAAGACATCCTGTGATAAAAATAGAAAGACAGACGTATAGACACAAAGAGTTTCTGCTAGAGTTCAGGGGGATTACCTTGCTGCTTTTTCATCTAGTTAACCCCTCAATATCTGAATTATTCATTGACTCCTCACACTGTGTGAATTATTCAAGATATAGTCTGTGTCTGTGAATTATTAATTAAACCTGCACTGCCTGTAAAGTGTTAACTGTTTAGTGCCCAGGACTTTCAGACTTGGTGATCAAGACATTTATTTATAGCTGGTGATGTACAATGTTTCAGTTGTCATGGTGAATTGAAATGATATTTCTTATCTTTGTTACAGCTCTGTGAAGACCTCTTCTCCCGTATCAATGACACATCCAATGACAACATGTCTTATTCTGTGGAGGTAGGCCAATTGTAGTCATATTCCCTGTAGGACATGGCTACTGAGACTTTGTCAGCTACTGAAGAAATATTGAAGTGAGCCCCACAAGACAGGAAAAATTGTATTTTGTCAGTAGTGATTTTAGTAATATGAATAATGACATGGTTAAGCAGTGTAGTGCAATGTTATAATAGACAACCTGTGTGTGATGATGAACTTAAAGGCATAGTCTATTTGTTGCATAAAATGAATAAATGTACCCATACTGATGAAAGAATTTTTTAACATTTATACTTTTAACATTTATAAATTTTTTTTGCATTGGAACCTGCAAAGCATTGCAATCACGACTGGGGGATCAGGGGTACAATGCACAGGCTGCTGCAGCAGGCTGTTTCTCCACCCCCAGGTCTGTATGGACATATGTACTTTCATTTACGGAGCTGGAGGAAGTTATCAATGGACAACAAGTGCAGAGATGTCACCACACTTGTGTTCCATTGAGATCTACCAGGCCCTCTGCCGCGGTGGCAGATAAGATTTGTAGTCTCTCTGTTCCTGTAAATGGATGTGTGAATGGATGATGCAGCTGTGCAGGCAAAGAAACCCATGATTTAAGTAAGTAAGGGGTGGGGTGAGAGTGAGGGGGCTTGGGAATGTGACCATGTTACATCTTACCCCCTTTAATTTGGGTTTAACATGAAACATGGTCAGAACGCTGGCCTTTAAAACCATACTTTGTGGTTGGACTTCCTATTTCAGTGACGCCAGGACAACAAATAAGTTAATTAATGTCATAGGGAGAGGAAAATGCAGACAACAAAAAGACTGACAAGGGGTTTTATCCCTTACCCCGTGTTCTTAAGGCTGGATTCTGTGCCTTGTGGTGTGCTGGTAAAGAGCATTAGGGTGTCATTAAGAATGAATTGCACAACAGTGTACCAGTGTGCATGACGTGAATTTGCACCGGTTGCGGAAGCCACACGTTACTGCGGTGCAACAGTGTAAAAAGTGTTTTTGTTGCTATACCCATTGGAAATGATTCCCATCACTTCCTGAACATCTGAACACGTGTCACCATGAGAGCAAGTGAGGGGAATCTTTTCAGTGGGAAAATAATTGAAAAGAATTCTAACACTTTCCCACTTTATCCCAGGGGGTGAGGATGTCAGGTAGGCTGTACGGGGCCCCATGATTTCTCATGGCAGCCCTGTGATATATATATATATATATATATATACACATATACACACACACACACACACACACACACACACACATATACATACACACCGTATAACGGAAAATTGTATACTTACCTATCGGTAATTTTCCTTTCCTGGCTAAGATTACTGAATAACAGGCAGAATAGGCCTGAAATGAAGCACCAATTCCATAAGTTACATTTTAAACATTAACAACGCTGGGGAACCACAGGTGACAGCAAAACACTCACATGAAAGGCCCCCAAGAGTCAAGGCACAAGATTGAAGCCGACAGAATCAGCAAACAACCAATTAACATATTACTCTAAGATCCAGTTTAAAGGTTTAGCAGCACAGCTACAAGTGGCAGCAGCCTGCACTCAGCAAACACCTGCAGGGTAAAGCACCACAGGCAAGCTAATTGATGTTTCAGGTAATTACCTGCAAGATTCAGCTAAGGCATTAGCAGCACCACAGAATCACATATGGAAGGTTTTAAGCACACATGGAAAACTGAATGGATTTACAGACACAACAGATATTAAGAAAGATTTAGCAAGAGCAAAGCAGTACTGCAAGGCTATAGGAAATAGCAGCACATGTATTACTTAAACAAACTCATTGAAAGAAAATGGAGTGGATCCTACTTGTCAGCTTGTCCATGCATGTGATCATCCCAGTACAACCATAGCTTCTGATGATGCAGCTGAGTCACGGTTCCTCTCTGGAGTCCCAAGAGCAGGAGGCTAAGCAGGTGTTCAACCTGCCGCCATGATGGAGGAAGCATCTGAACATGAAGAGACCCCAAGAGACCATTTCCTGCACCCCAACTCCAAGGCTATGGGGGGGGCTTCCCTATTAAGATTGCATTCAGCCATCTGAACAAAGGGAACTTCGCAACAGGAGAGGCTGAACCTGTGCGGCAGGCCAGAAGAAACCGGCAAGGTGAGGGCAAAAAAAACACAAACATATCCTTAGTATAACCGGCTTGAGCAGTGAGGACAAAAAAAAGAATGGTGGCCTTGGGAGGCGGGCTTTAATTTATAGTATAACTGGTCCTGTGATTTGGCTGGGGGCGGAGCCATACCCATTGTATGCTGCCATGGATTGGTGTCAGGAAATATATATGTATATATATATATATTTTTCCATTTAATTCCTTCCTGTATATGAATATAGCTGTGCACATTGACATTGTACATTTAACTTCTTTAAAGACGGACCTTATCTTGTTACAGCCATGCATGTACAGTATAATTATATGAGTGTTGCTGCTTCTTTAGGTGAGTTATATGGAGATATACTGTGAGCGGGTCAGAGACCTTCTGAATCCAAAGAACAAGGGCAATCTACGTGTCCGTGAGCACCCCCTACTGGGACCATATGTTGAGGATTTGTCAAAATTGGCTGTAACATCATACCGTGACATCCAAGACCTGATGGACTCTGGTAACAAAGCCAGGTATGTTCATTCCTATTATCATTAAGTAGTTTGCTTGAAAGGCCTGTTGTATTTAAAATTTGTGTATTCTAAAAACTGCATGCATATAATACATGTAATGATTGCATTCAGCACATTACTACTTTTATTTATATTGTTTCCTTGTTTGCATGCAGGCCAAGCTGTCCACTAAAGGTGACAGTAACAGGGGATGAAACAAAGTATTTTACTACTTGGGTGCTTGGGAGGTTACAGCAACTTTTTTGTATTTTTTGTAAGCAAGCCTGATCTTCCTTTTTACATTTAAAATGTAAAGTTTTGCAGACTTCAGATGTTGACTTCTATTACCTTTACTAGCTTCCTCAGTGCCCCACTCTGATTTAGTTTCAGTTTGTTACGGGGTCTGACATTCCCTGACTTCATGGCTAAGCTCCCCCAAATGGCAGTCCTTGTCCAGTAAGAGTGCCCTTGCAGTGTAGTGGCAGCTGATTGGCTTAAAGGAGAACTATGGGGTAAGAGTTTTTCCCCATAGTTCTCTTAAGGGTCACGGGAGGACATATACTAGCGTCCTCCCGTGACCCAAAGCTCAGTACATCGTGAGCTACAGCTCGTGGTATACTGAGACTGCCACAGCCGGGACGGATCGTGACATTACTGTCGAGATCCACCCAGCTGGGTGAGTGACAGCTGGCTTTGCCTATCTAGAGGCAGAGCCAGCTGTACCCACCCCCTCCCCTGTCCGTTCCTCCACTCAGCGCTGGAGGATCAGAGCGGAGAGAGGGGGAATCCATGCAGGGAGCCATGACTGACGGCTCTCTGCAGGGAGATGATCGAGAAGTGAGCGAGCGACAGTATGTGTTTCGCTCACTTCCCGTTCTAATGAGCTGACGTGTGACAGTTTAATTTTCACTTACCTCATAGTTCTCCTTTAACTGTAATATACAGTTAACCCCTGTCAGCTTATTTTGCCATCTGTGCCCCATTGGGGAGATGTCCCTTCACTTCCTGTTCGATTTCCACAGCAGGAAGTGAAATTAAATCCCTCCAAAGTGCGGGAAATCCCTTGTGGTCATCAGGGTCACCAGAACAAGTGTCCCCATTGGAAGATTTCCCATCTATTCTTGTTCTGATGACAACCCAAAATGTAGGATTTTTCTTTACTTTCAGTGTAAACCGTCATAGGGACAAATAGAGGAAGTGAATCTCCCTAACGGGGACACAGAGGGCAATAAAAACCTGAAAGGTGTTCTAATCCCTCTCACTTTAATATTGCAAATGATACAATACTGATATCAGTATGAAATCTTTGTAAAGCAGACAATGTTCCGATAGCAGCTTATCAGACAAAATAACGGAACATTCTGACTACCTTACCAGGAGTGCAAACAAAATAGTTCAGCATGTTTTCTGTAACCTGTCCAAAATCTTGTTGCAGCCCTTCTTTTCTGTAAAAAATGTTCCCTTTTAATGAGGCTATAACTCCAGAGGGCACAGGGGGCAATTGCTCCTGGGCCTATGGATGAAGGGGCCCCACTATTGATGCTGCTTACCTTTGTGTACCAGCTGTGTATCTACCTTCCATACATTTTTCTCTTCTGCTATCTGCTCTAGTAGGCTTACTTAGCTCTGTGACAGCTGAAGAGTATGAGATATGATTCTATCTTGCACCAGGGCCATGTGAATTTTACCTACATCTCTTTTTAACATTACACATCCAACATTCACCCGTGACATCTGTAAATCCTTTTCACACAAGCTGAATACAGATGAATTACATACATAATGCGGTAATGCACATTATATCACGCATATAATAGAACTAGAGCCAATTTTTGGGGGGATAGAGTAAGGGATTGTTATAACCGCTGCAGGATTTTTTTTGCCATCTGTGTGCCATTGGGAAGCTTCCCCTTCACTTCCTGACTGATAGCCACAACAGGAGGTGAGAGAAAATCCCTTCAAAGTGAGGGGAATCCCCGGTGGTTAGTAGGATCACCAGAACTGGTATCCCCATTGGAAGATTTCCCATCTGGTCCTGTTCTGGTGACAAATCCAAAATTTGGGATTTTCTTTCACTTTCAGTGATATCAGTCACCAGGACAAATAGAGAAGCTGCTTCTCCCTAACCGGGACACAGCAATACAAACCTGACTGGTGTTCTAATCCCTCTCCACTCTATCCAAAACTAAAAAAAAAAGTTTTGGCTTTAGTTGCACTTTAAGGCAACTCATTGAAAATAATAGACTGCCCATGCACCAAAACGTCCCAAAGATTGAACTTGTCAGAAAATTTGAAATGCAACTATGGTATGTTGTGGCTCACTGCAACACACGTGCGTTGCCTTAGAGAAGGCATTGCAAATGAATGGCATCACAGTGCAGCAAACCATGTAAGGTGCGATGCAGTAATTTGCTCGTTAATGTGCATTACCGCAATGCAATGGTGTAAATGGGCCCTAATTGAACAGAGAGAGTGCTGAATAAGTAACCCCTTCACTCAACCCCTAAAGCAAGTTCTATTAACTCTCACATCTCTGGGCATAATCAAGTGTACATTCCCAAATAGATACAAACTCTTATTCATAAAGTGTATCTACTCTTGCACTAGGGGCAACGGAGAACTGGCCACATTTCTCCATTCATTGCTGGATATAGGAAATATATAGACAGACCCGGAGATATTGAGTGGAAGGGCTTCATGACTGTGGGGAGGAATTGTACCCTGGGAAGGGTTAAATGAGTGGAATAATTAAAGGGTACCTGATTAGAGGAGAAGGTCAGGTGGCCAGGAGGAGCCTCGTGGAAAGGAACTGTAGGGGCTGCTGGAAGTCTTTTCTGGAAAGTCAACAGAGGAAGCAAGTTGTGTCACCTGCCCTCCCTTTTTTGGGGTTACAGATGGTTTCCACCATCTGTATGGTGCTTTCCACAGTGGGGTCAGTTGTGGACAGGGGCCCCTGCCCCTTGGGCATAGTTAATGCTGGAATTGTCATTGTGCCGGTGGGGGATGCGGCTGGGGACATGGGGTGGATTTAGAAAAGCCTTAGTTGGGCTAACGGACACCAAAGACCCCTTCTTGTAACAACAGCCATTAGGTTATTATTATTTTGGCTTGTTGTTTCTGGTTATTATGATTGGTAAAATGTAATTTGTTATATGGATAAATAAAGGGCTGCTGCGGCCATTGAAACCCATGTCGCGCAGTCCGTGTGATCTTTATTAGGAACTTAAGAAAGGTCTCAGAATTGATGAATCCAATAGTCAAGTAAAAATTGTCACCTTATGTGATTTGTAATTCTTCAAATTATGTATTTTTTATGGTTGGGATCTCTTTCCAAAAACATTTCTCATGTATAGGGTGTAACATGCATGATTGTGAGTTCCAGGCTTCAGTTTGTTGTGTCTGTTTACCATCGCATTTTCTTCTTCACGAACAGAACTGTGGCTGCCACAAACATGAATGAGACCAGCAGTCGCTCCCATGCTGTATTTAATATCATCTTCACCCAGCGCAGGCATGATGCTGACAGCCAGAACACTACCGAGAAGGTGAGCGCTGCAAACTGTCAGGCTGATTTAATAAAGGAGGTGTTTCATGTTCGCATGTGGACCCTGGTGACCAACATATGTCCCTTTGGCACTTGTGCACCCCTCAGACCCTAGCAATGTGTAATGGGAGTGGGAGCATTAATTTATAAAGAGGTATTATGCTTAGTAACCACAAATGTAGCATGTCCACAGTCTCTGATCATCATTTCCTCTAGTATGTCTCAGGTCTCTGACAGTCTCAGTTAGCATTACATATACTGAATATTATGTGCATGGTTTTTGGCGATGTCAGGGCCGCTGTTGAAGCCTCCTATACCTTGTAAGTTGACAAGCTCTAATGTGCAGACTTCAAATACCCAAACAGGTTGATGGGAATTTGTCTGAACTGGGTATTTGAACACTGGCTGAGATTTATTATTGCTTTTTACAGATATTTATGTAGCGCTAAAAATTTACACAGCACTTTACATACTATTCATTCATATCAGTCCCAGCCTTCAAGTGGCTTATAATCTAAGATCCTCATCTCACATGCACATACATACTAGTGCCAATTTACCTGCCAACATGTCTTTGAAGTGTGGGAGGAAACCCCCACAAGAACAGGGAGAACATGCAAGCTCCTAGCAGATAGTGACCTGAGGGGATTATGAACCCAGTGAGCCCGGTGTCTCAAGGCAGGAGTGCTAACCACTGAAGATTACTCCTTTTTTTTAAAGGTGTTTTATTTAGTAATTATAAAAGGTTTTAATTCAAAAGAAAAGGGGTACACAAAGCCCCAACACAAGCAACACACAGGCTGCGATTAAAACAAAGAAGCAAACACACATACACACCGCCACACAACCAGCCCTGCTCCCAACCACAGCAAGACATTACCCGATAGGATGGCAAACACCGCCGAAGGATATTGCTTTGGCATCTCGATAGATATCAACTGCAATCATGCATCCAGAGTTGGAACCCCCACCCAAGGACCCCATACCCTGGCAAATTTCTTAGGACAAGCCTAGCTTGTCCTAAGAAAACATCTTAATAGTAGGAAGTTGGGGCTTTTTTAAGTAAGTACGTAAGTAAGCCATTAATATGTCATCCAGCTTTTCTAAAAATATGCAGACAGCTCATGGTCCTGAGATTAGGTTTTGCTTGACTGTATGGCCGTATATTATACATTATGTACCTGTGTATATTATTAAATGTCTATTGGTACATTGGTATACACTACAGTGCATGAACCTCAAAATATATAACTTGATCAAAATTAAATTGTTTTTCTTGATAATTTTATTTTATTAAAATAGAGCTTTTTGAGTAACTATCAAACTTAAATATACAATAAAATTAATTAAAACACTGACTAGAAAATTCATGATAGACAAACTTGACTTGCCAAGAGCATAGTACAGTTAGTCTGGGTATCCAGTGTTCTTGTGGAAGTTTTAAAGTTTGACAGCGCTACATTAAAATGTCTTATGGGCTGAAAATAAAGTATATAATTATCAAAGTGATTTTCTCTATTATCCAGTAGTGATGAGGCTGGACTTAATACAAACTCATTATACCACGGTTTGCCCAAGTCCACTTAAAACTCTGACTGCCATGGCGCTACACCGTCCTCTTGACCCGATTGGTGTTGGAAGGTTGCGGCTGGGATGTTCCCCACCTCTGTGACATATAGCTGCGTGGCTTAGAATGCGCCCCTCACTTACTGATTGGGACATAGCTATCAGAGTTTTCAGTGAACTTGGCCAATCCCAGGCTATGTTTCACCAAGCCCAACCTCATCACTATCAGGATTTCCCTGGTTTTCTCCACAGAAATTGCTTACAATATGTGACACAATAACACTACTAAAAATGTAAAAAAAAACAAACAAGACCAAGCTTTAATTTTTTTTGTTTGACACCCAGAAGATATCCTCAGTGAGTGGTAAATCTTGTGATGCTTGTTGGTCTGAACTAATGTTCTTCTTTATCAATCTGGTGTAGGCAGACACAAAGGATCTGAATCACATAATCATCTTCAAGCTGAATAGTTCAATCACATTTTGTAATTAAACATGGCTACAGAAGAAATATGCAATCAGTAGAATTTATATCTTGCTCATTCAGTCTTTGTCTCTGTGCATATGTCCCTGACAGTTGGGTAAAAACTGCACAGGCACACAGCTCTTTCTAATGCGCTGATGGTCTTTTATTATATTGTGCACACATTTGTATTCATAGTATATTCTGGTTTTGGGGCTTACCCTGAGCAAATTTTCCATCAGGTTTTTGTGGGGAGGTTCCTAGTTCAGCAACACAATTAAGTTAGGTCCTTAGCTTTTTCTAGGGAGCTCAAATAAAGTTATACTCACCTGAACCGCAATCCTGGCTTGCTCTTACAATGGTCCCCTCAGTTTCGTTCCCCTCCTCTCCAGCGGTTTAAAGTCCTGTGAGTCATCATGTTCTATACAGTGTATAGAACGTTAGGACGCTGAGGAACATACACTGGAGCGGAGGAGACAGGCTGGAGGGAGCGCTGTAAGAGAGGTTAAAGTTAGTATAACTATTTTTTTATCTCTCTACACAAAACAAGCACTTAACCCTTGCATTGCAGGGGTAGCCGCACTGTAAAAGTAAAACTTTGATTTGCCCGGAGTTCTGCTTTAATTATTAGAAAATGGAACAAACTGTCCAATAATGTATGTGTTCAAATGAAATCCTGATCACATATACCCAGCATAAGTATGGCCTCATTAAAGTCTGGACAGATATACAGTACAATCATGTTGTGATTAGCTCAAAAGTAATATAAGAGATCTGTTGCTAAAAAATGTTTATTCATTATGAACTCTATCTTTGAACAGACCACAAATTTATTAAAGTTGGCCGAAGGTACAAATGTGAGGTTGCCGAGTTAAATCCATAGTGTAAAAGTGACTATAATTATGTTTCCATTTTCCTAATTTATACATTTGATGTTGTTTCTATGCAGATCTCCTAGACAGGGACTACAGTTATGTTATGTTATGTTAGCGTCTGTTACAGCAGTGACACCTGCAGGCTGTAGGGAAATATTATTAGCCCTCATATAGTAAATGGAAAAAGCAGAATGCTCAGATTATGGCATTCTGTTCTAGATAAATACACTAGGTAGGTGTTCCTGGATTTGGATTGTTTGCATTGGGCAAATTGATCTTGATATGGACATACTAAAGAAATGAAAACATATACTCCCAAGAAAATCGACAACTGTTGTGTTTCTTATTGTGGAATAAATCACTACAAATAGTAAACTAGTAAAACAAAGACTGATTAGTTGCTCTAAGTCTCTGCCTTTTTGAATATTACCATTTCTCCTTGCAATGCCTTACTAAATTAGACTGATGGTTGCAGTTTGGACAGGTCAAGGTTTGGGTGTTGAGTGTTGATTATGTGTTTAGATGAAACACTGAGATCTTGAGGAATGCTGAATTAAGTTTTACTTGCTTATGAGAACATTACATCAGAATACAGCATTATACAGCATACAGAGAGAACGTCCTGTGTGTCATCGATAAACATGCATAAGCATAGAGACTAACATTGCACTACAGCACCATCTAGAGCTCAAAAGACCTGACAGTAGAATGTCAGTAATATGCTGTTGTATTTCCAACATTGAGGTGTGTATTTTAACTTGCAATGGTAATTGTAGATATTAGATAATTGTCACCTGATTCTGCAGATATTGCCAGGACTGGGTGACGATTCGGTATCGGGAATGCTCTATGCCTAAGCAAACCTAAGCTCGCATTCCCAGGGAAAAAAGTCTAGTGACCAGGTGGCATTTTGTTCCTTAGATTTAATGTAAAGGCAATGTTTATTTTAGTTTTGGATAGAGTGGTAAAGGGTTTGACAATTGGTCAAGTTTTATAGCTGTCTTTGCATCGGGGAGATTCTGTCTCCCTATTTGGTGCCCATTGCCTCCAAGAGAGAAATATTTTGCATCTCTAATATTTTTGGGTTCTGCCCCATGATGATTCATCAATGGAGACTGCTGTAGTCGGAAATAAGGTGTTTAAACAAAATTTCTGAAGATAACATGTGGACACAACAAGAAGTTGGACAAGATGCAATTTAATCTCAGACCGCGTAAGGGTTTTTTTTACAGAGAGGTTTTTAGAGAGGTAAAAATTTGAATTTCCCTTCCTCAGTTAGTCTGAAAGCATTGATAACTTCAAAAAACACTGAGATGAGTTTGTCAATTTATAGAATATACAGGGATATTTAAGTTAGCGACATGTTGATACATACATACAGGTGAAACTCGAATAATTAGAATATCGTGCAAAAGTAATTGCAGTAAGTGTTTCAAAAGGGGCCCAAACCAAGTACTGAGTACATATGCATGCTTGTACTTTTCAGAGGTCCGATATTGTTCTATGTACAATCCTTGTTTTATTGATTGCATGTAATAATCTACTTTTTTGAGGTTGTGGATTTGGGGTTCTTGGGGTTTTCATGAGCTGTAAGCCATAATCATCACACTTATGACAAATCACGGCTTGAATTATCTTGCTTTGCATGTAATGAGTCTATCTCATATATTAGTTTCACCTTTTAAGTTGCATTAGTGAAATAAATGAACTTTGCACGATATTCTAATTATTCGAGTTTCACCTGTACTGTATAGGTACTGGATGGACTTGTGTCTTTACTTAACCTTACCAACTATGTAAATATATGTAAGTATGTAACCACCGTATATTGACTATCATCACTCACAATTATAGCCACATATTCAGCCAACTTTTTATAATAAACTTTAAATATGTTTTTTCTCACAGTAAAAGAGGCCAGCAATAATTACAATTTTGTGAAGATTTGGTTAATGGTTTTTTTTTTCCTTTTTTTTCCTCATAGGTCAGTAAAATCAGTCTTGTGGACCTTGCAGGGAGTGAAAGAGCAGATTCCACTGGTGCAAAAGGGACAAGACTAAAGGTGACATTCCATTCCTGTATCCACATTATTAATGAGTAGATGTACAATTAAATACTTGGACTCGGCAAGACTTGAGAGATTTGTCTAGTGTTACAAAATGAAAAGAAGAAGCTCTACATTAACAATCAAAAATGTCTGCCCCTGCACACATTTTGGTTTGCCGGGTATATTGCCACACATATTTCTTCACCATGATTCAGTTGCAGTTTTTTGTTGTTATTGTTATTATTGTTTGCATACAGGATTTGTATCCTGTTTATGGTTTGCAAGTAAATATACCTTTTTAAGATATAAAATTGATATCGTCTCCCCTTGACAACCTTTCTGTGGATATGCAGCAGTGTATGAAATGGCACATGTGAATATTAAGCTGCATAAAATATGTATTTTGCCTGTTCCATTTGTCAGGAAACACCAACACAAAATTGTATGCATCTGCAACTTCCATTATCTTGAAGATACATTGACAATTAAGACTTAAGATGCATAGGGGAAGCTGAGCCCATCAAACAACCCAGTTCTTTTTGTCAGGAATGCAGTAAGATGTTTGTGTCTTAAATTGGACCTTACCCCCTTTCACTAAAAATGACATCAGCATACAGAGCTGCATGCTGATATGAAATCATCTTACATCCATTAGTTAAACAAACATATTTTCTTTTACTTGCTTTTCCTATTTTTCCACTTCCTGGTCCCCTGTGGTAATAGTGATGCAGCCTGTGGCCAAGCGTTGCATCCTGGGAAGGTTACATCAGCAGAACATTGCTGGGAAATCTCATCTGCAATCTCACGAGATCTCAGGGAAAGGCATTTCCTCCCCTGAGATGATGTGCATGGTCACATGTCCTAGTCACATGTGCCAGAGTTCCAGGAAGTAAAGGGAGGTATATTAATCTGCCCTTAGTAGAAATGGCCTCCTTGAGAAGAAAGGGAAGGAAAAGAAATATAAGGTATGTAAAGAATAAAAGGCTGACAATTATGTTTAAGTATCATTTTGTAGATTGTCATTACTAAACATTTTATAAAGGTGTCTTTGTTGTCATTTTAAATATATAGTTAAAGTTCCTCTTTAAATGCACCCACTGCAGGCTCCTTGCTAAAAATGTTATACTGTTTAAGAAAATCAAAGTATAACTTTGCATATTCCTTAAAGTGACTCATCTGTCACTTTCTACCTCTCTTAGGACAGCTCATTCTGAGTTTTCAATCATACATAGTATGCTTTTGCTTTGCTCTTTCTTAGATATCCCATGTACAGTATGTTCTGGGACTCCTTTGTCTTGTGATATATGCATCTGTAACAGAAAGATGCGAAAACCTAAAATAATACTGACTCAAAACCATTATAGATGTTCTTTAATCTCAGCTGTTCATCTTTTCTACATTTAGGAAGGAGCAAATATCAATAAGTCTCTGACAACTCTGGGAAAGGTTATTTCTGCTCTTGCTGAAATGGTGAGTATCTCTTTATATTACTTTCAGACAAAAGTCTCCAAGGCTGATCTATAAACTAACCCTGGGAAATTAAAGTATTGCCTTTATCAACAACTAAGGAACTCACTTTAAAGATTTAACATAAGATAGAAATAAACCAGCTGCAATATAATTGGTCAGACCATTTTCATTTCGTGAAAAGACCTATGCCTGGCCCAATACTAATGTGTTCTGGTAAATCAATTTTTGTGTCTTCTGTACGTGTGCTTTCAGTGTCCTGCTATTGCAGTATGTCTTTGCAAATAGGTGCATTGAACATAGTAAGAGCCCCACTGTCTCACCTCCCTCTACAAAGCCAATCAATACACTGTGCACTTGCTTTCCAAATTCTGAAAACACTCTGTACTGATAACATAATTCCATCCACTAGAGCCATTGAATCTGGGACAGAAGTCAATAGTTGGAGTCACATGGTTGATCATGTGACTTGTCAGGTTGCCAGGATGGAGGTGTTAAAACAGCATTATATTTGGGGACAGATAGTTTCTACACAGCTCTCCCCCACCCTTCTTTAGGGATGGTTGTTCCAGTTTCTGTGAGACTAGAGTGTCAGAAAATCTCACAAGATTGTCAATATTCAGACGCTGTCTATCAATGGTGAAGTGGCTAAGAGAAGGAGGCAGGAATAAACACTCCTTCTAATGCAACATGACAGTTCTCCCGACTCTTAACAAGACAGCTTTTTCTTAACATTGCAACCTCCTAAGAGAGCCCTGATATCATAGATGCCTAATCTAAATCCTTTCATCTCCTCCTATTACAGCATGTTACTGTATATCCTTCATATATACATGTCTCTAATGTATCAACTGATTTGCCTTTTTTATTCTGTTTTTCTCAGGATTCTGGAACAAATAAGGTGGGTTTACTCATTCATTGCTTTACATAAATGTGTATGGCACTTTCACAGATGAATTTAGTATATATATATACAGTGTAGTATATTGGGAATAGGAATGCGCAAAGTGATTTTGGCAAAACTAATTTTGCTGTGAAATGTCTGACTTTGCTGTCAGCTAAATTTCACTGGAGTGGAAACTCTCAATTTTGTAAATTGAGCTGCTTAGGTAAAATTTTCTCTACTGTTGTTTTAAAATTTCTATTATAATTTTTGTTTGCTCTTTCGTTCTGTAAAAAAAAAAAGGTAAAATAATATTTCTAATGGGGACTTTTGTTTTGCACAGGTCTAGGAGAGTTGAAAGAAGTTCTCACAACTCTTAAGGGTTCATTTAAAGCCCATTGCACACATAAGAAAGCACCAAAATATCCTTAATTTCACATTCCCTTTTGACTCCAATGCATTTTACCAAAATGGCAAAATTCCCCCAAAATCTCCTGATCTTCACACAAATTTCAGGAAAATAAAAACCCTTAATTTCACTCATGCCGAATTTGGAGTGATGTGTTCTGGAAAGAAGCTGTTGAATTGGGGCATGTAGGAAGAACAGTTTTTTCATTATAGATGCATAACACATGCAAATGTTGCCAGTAGGAGGTTATACTATGGAGATGTTCTGTCTGCTTTGTGATTTGTTTAAACAAATTGTGAAAGCCTGTAAGCCTGAGAGATTTTCATGAATGGAAGGGTAAAAGGTGAATGTGGGGACAGGATAAATATACTGTATAAAAATATCTTGTTTTATGTTCTCCTCAGAATAAGAAAAAGAAGAAGAATGATTTTGTCCCATACAGAGACTCTGTACTCACCTGGCTTCTAAGAGAGAACCTGGGTAACGTCTTTATTTATACCTCACCTATTATGTTTATGCAGCAGCAGATGACTAAACTATGGGCCTGTCTATAAAAGATCATAGACAATGCATTGCATTGTCTTTAGAAGACAACCTGGCACAATACTTAATTTTTACCATATTTGTGTTTTTTAAGTATTGTTAGGTATTTCATATAATATAAATAAGTAAAATACTGGTCATTTTTTAATTGGAACTGGAAACTTAAGCCCAATATTGTGGTTGTCCCTATACATTGCAGTATGAATCATCTACTGGACTAGTGAAATGCTGAGAAGACAGCGCTTAATTTACCGTACTGTTCTTTGAGGATTTAAAGGAGAATTATGAGGCGAGTGATTTTCACTCAGTCTCATAATCTGAGCCGACCTGTGACAATGAAACTGATCTTCACAGAAATTTCAGGAAAATAAAAACCCTTAATTTCACTCATGCCGAATTTGGAGTTATGTGTTCTGGAAAGAAGCGGTTGAATTGGTTGTCCCTATACATTGCAGTATGAATCATCTACTGGACTAGTGAAATGCTGAGAAGACAGCGCTTAATTTACCGTACTGTTCTTTGAGGATTTAAAGGAGAATTATGAGGCGAGTGATTTTCACTCAGTCTCATAATCTGAGCCGACCTGTGACAATGAAACTTTTTAGCTTTGTATCCATTTGGTCAAGATTTTATGCAGAAGTGGTCTATTCCCACTGCAGATTTGGCAGTGTCCCATCTTAACATGTGAACATCTGCTCCCTCTGGTGGGTCCTGACCTTCATCTCATTCTGGCTGTGTCCTTGCTTAACCATGTCCTACTGGTAAAAGTCCCTTAGATGAGATCTTACCGTTGCTGCTGTTGAATCCTTGTTTATAGAACATGTGAAGCTTATGGTCTTAAAGATCGGGTTCCACTCTTACCTGTCAAGGTGCACTCTACTAGATCTGTGAGCGTCTCTTGTGCTTTTTTGCATTAACCAGTTATTTCCCAAAATGCAAGGCGGCCACCTGGTCTTCTGTTCACATATATTGTACTCTCATCTGATGCCAGCATTCGGCAAAAGGTCCATCAGACAGCTCTGTGAGCTGTAGGCAGTCCCCAGTTTGCTGTTTCTTTGGACTGATAGCATTTGTTTGCTGTGCTACCCACACTGTTGGATGATTTTTGAAAATCCCAAAAGTTTAGGACTTCCTGTGTCCCTCAACAGGCAAGAAAGAAATTAGGATTTTTTTGTAAGCATTGAAGGACACAGGTCCAATCTCTCTGTGGTCATGATCATGCTCTTGTTACTGCTTTGCTACAAAACTAAAGCATGCTGGTAATAGGATGGGTTAACATGGGCTAGCCTGCAGTTTCTTTTTAGGCGGCAGTATAGTTCGAAGATTTAAGACTTCCTGTGTCTCTCAGTGTACTCCAAGAAAAGGATTTTATGGTGAATAAAAAATACTATTTTACATGTGAAGTAAAGCTTTTTTTTTTTTAATCCATAACTATCTGACTAAATGTAATACAGCTTGGTGTAATATGAAGTGTTTTACTTCGTATGTGCTGTGAAATTATGCAGTCACTGTTTTTCTACCTAAGTTTTTACCGTGGTGATCCAGAACTGAAATTGTTTTATTGTAAATAAAAGCAGAAGAGCACTTGCAACAATGATAAAATGCTACAATAATGAAAAAGTACTCCGCCTTGAGGACTCCCAGGTTTGTGGGATAAATTATCAGTAAAAAATAAATAAAGGAAATGCTTTAAAATTGTTGAAATCTAGATTAAAAGTACATTTCACAGGACTAATACACCATTGTACAATAATGGCAAAATAAGTGGAGATATTGCCCAGAGCTGCTTCTCCGTAACAGGCCCTTAATTTTGCCCCAATTGGGTCAAAAACTGTTGGAAGAGAATGCACCTTTCGGTTACAAGGGAAGACAGTAGGAGGTTAGGGTACATGTACATTTGCTGTATATAAAAGACCATGCAAGTACCACTGCTCATACCGCAGCCAGGATGCCTACCTTCATGCTGGATATAAAGTCCAATAACGTATAATAGCAGTGTTGTCATAGTGTTTATGTGCCTAGGTCCTATTCAGATGCTTTGCAATACGGTTGCTAACATAGCCACGTACCTGTGCCCACTGTGGTAACAATGTCAAGCACATGTGCACACTGTAACGCTGCTTCCAGGATTTAAAAGACACTGTAAGCAGCAGTTAAAGGGGCACATGGGGTTCAGGCACGGGCTGATGTGCCATTTACACATGTACTAAGGAGATAGGGTTGCAACTACAGTATGCATAATATATATATATATTTTTTTAGGTTACTAATTGCAACATCTCTTTTGTAGGTGGAAACTCCCGGACTGCTATGGTAGCTGCTTTAAGTCCGGCAGATATTAACTATGATGAGACCCTCAGCACCCTCCGGTGAGAAATTCATGGATTCCAGTTAGCAGTAAATGTAAAACAGTTCTGGACCTTGCCAAAAAAATCTGTCTTTGGAATTCCTTATACCTACTATTCATGCAAACACACTCACATGTAAAAAAAAACCTTGTGTCTAGGTTCAAAAACAACAAAGTTATACTCACCCAATCCTCTAAACTGGCATGTTGTTGGACCGGGCCCAGGAGCCTCATCGTGTTCTTTACACTGTGGATAGGACGCCAAGGGACATACCATCGCTACAGCGCATGGGAAGACAGGCTGGAGGGAGCGCTGTGACAGCCAGCCGGCTCCGCGGTTCAGGCGAATATAAGTTTTTTTTAACCTAGACACAAATGAGCACTCAACTCATGCAGTGGGAGTGGGGGGATGGGGTTTCCCACTAGAAGGGTTAAGAAAAGGTTTGTCCAGAGTTCTTTAAAATTTCCCTAATGTAATAGCCGTGTCCTCCATTTTTCCGAACATTTCCATTTGATATTCATGTGGTGCAAATATGGACGCCACTCAATAATGTTAACACCTCCCAGCTTTATTAAGTGGCCCCATTAATTGGGTCATATACATATTTTAACAGAGATCCTTTTGTAAACATGGAGTATGGAGATGATATGTTACAGACATTGTGAAAAATACAATGGAATTACTGATAAACTTTACGAGATGGTTATAAAGACTGGACAAAATATATTTTTTACAGTAACATACAATAATGGTGCTTTTGAATACTTAGTTAGAATGTTTTGTTATTATGGTGAGACACTTTAAGAGGAAATTTGAATTGGAGTAAAAGCTGAAGGAGAGGGGGCAAAAAATTACATTTCTTTTTTTTTTTTTTTACAGTCCGCATTAGAGAAAAATAAAAGCGTGAGGTTCCCCCTCCAAATTGATACCAGATTTATTATTTATTGCTATCGGATTTACTATATTCACTGCTTCTGCACTAATGACTGGAGTGAGCCCACTAATTACCCCTTTAATTATTTCCTCTTTATTATTTGAATTTATTGTATGGTTTTTATAACTTAAATTTAGTATTTTTAGGTCTGGTAGGAATGTTAGGGGGGACCTCCAATGTTTTTTTTTCTCTTCTGCGGACTGTAAAAAAAAAAAAAGTATTTTTTTTCTTTTGTCTAATGCCCCTTTGCTGCAATGAAAAGTCTTTCATAACAAAAATTTTCGTACATACTACTGCTAGCAAAATTAGCGAAAATTCAGATTTCGTCCGAATCCCGTAAAACACATTGACTTTGACAAAACAAAACGAAATGAATTTTATGAGGGCACACATATCTAATAGTTAAATTGAACTAGAATGTTAAATTGAACCTTGAATTTATATAGGGATTCTACTCATCCCTGCTGGCAACTGCAGCTATTGCATATCTCTTAATTCCTACTAGAGTGCATGCCTGACATAATCTAATACAGTAATACCTTGGTTTACGAGCATAATTAGTTCAGGAAGCATGCTTGTAATCCAAAGCGCTTGTATATCAAAGCGAATTTCCCCATAGGAAATAATGGAAATTCAGATGATTCGTTCCACAACCCAAAAATATTCATATAAAAATGATTACAATACTGTGCTGTAATATAATACTGTATAAAATATAAAGAAAAATAAACCAATTTCCGGTTACCTTCGTGGCTGGTGTGAGGGGGACAAGAGAGAGGAGAATTATTGTGTAGGACGACTTTCACTATCACTAACGGAATCACTGCTATCTCTTGCCTCAATGGAATCTTCATTTCGTGAAACCTTAACAAGGAATCTATCCAATGTGACATTGTATTTTTAGGTCTGGTAGGAATGTTAGGGGGGACCTCCAATGTTTTTTTTTCTCTTCTGCGGACTGTAAAAAAAAAAAAAGTATTTTTTTTCTTTTGTCTAATGCCCCTTTGCTGCAATGAAAAGTCTTTCATAACAAAAATTTTCGTACATACTACTGCTAGCAAAATTAGCGAAAATTCAGATTTCGTCCGAATCCCGTAAAACACATTGACTTTGACAAAACAAAACGAAATGAATTTTATGAGGGCACACATATCTAATAGTTAAATTGAACTAGAATGTTAAATTGAACCTTGAATTTATATAGGGATTCTACTCATCCCTGCTGGCAACTGCAGCTATTGCATATCTCTTAATTCCTACTAGAGTGCATGCCTGACATAATCTAATACAGTAATACCTTGGTTTACGAGCATAATTCGTTCAGGAAGCATGCTTGTAATCCAAAGCGCTTGTATATCAAAGCGAATTTCCCCATAGGAAATAATGGAAATTCAGATGATTCGTTCCACAACCCAAAAATATTCATATAAAAATGATTACAATACTGTGCTGTAATATAATACTGTATAAAATATAAAGAAAAATAAACCAATTTCCGGTTACCTTCGTGGCTGGTGTGAGGGGGACAAGAGAGAGGAGAATTATTGTGTAGGACGACTTTCACTATCACTAACGGAATCACTGCTATCTCTTGCCTCAATGGAATCTTCATTTCGTGAAACCTTAACAAGGAATCTATCCAATGTGACATTGCATTGTCTTTAAACAGATTCATCACTCGCACTGCTACAGCCTCATTCGGGTGGTGCTTTTCTACAAAATGTTGCTCTTAGTGCAAGACATTGCTTGTATATCAAGGCAACATTTTTCAGAAATGTTTGCTTGTCTTGCAAAACACTCTGAAACCAAGTTACTTTTAAACCAAGGTATTACTGTATATGTACTCAGATGGACACAGAGATATATATGATATCATCTGGCAATTAGTACACAAGTCAGTGGAGAGGAGGTCTGGGTAGGTGATTATATGAACATGCACCCAATTGCAGGTGATTTTCAGTCATCCTGTTCACAAGACTGAAAATTGTTTAACACTAGTCCTTTTCAGATGTCTTTGTCAGTGCAGTATGCTTTTGTGCTGCAGATTTATTTATGTTTATACAACAAGTCCTGTTTTTTTCCTTCAGATATGCTGATCGTGCTAAACAAATTCGCTGCAATGCTGTTATTAATGAAGATCCAAACAACAGGCTTATCCGTGAGCTTAAAGATGAGGTGGCCCGTCTGAGAGAACTTCTAGGTGCCCAAGGACTATCTGACATCATTGACAGTGAGTGGTCTTCTAGCACAACACAATACACCCAACCCCTTATATTTTATGGTTCCCATAGATCATGAGACACCTACTGGCAGTTCTATTAGTTTTTTTCAGGCTTAGACAGCAGGCAGACAGTTATTGCAACACTTAAACTGCAAAAGGTAACCCAGATGAACGTTTCATTGTTCTAAAGTCTGTTGGCTGGGTTTACATTTTTCAACCTAAATTCTATAGATATGGCTGGTGCTGGAGGCCACAGGGGTTCTGGTGCATAGGCAAGCCAGTAGGCTACAAATGTGTATTTGGCTGTCAAGACTAAAAAATATATTTCTGATCTTGAATAATTGTTTTTGTCTGATGTCTATGTATTTGAAAGGAACCCTCTCATTGGTATGATGATTTTGCGGTTCTCCGTCCAAACAAATGCCAACAGCCTGGCTTTCATGTGTTTCCTCCCACTTTCAGTATTTCCAGAAGTTCATTAATGGCCATGTATTTCTCTTTCAACTGGCTGCCATAAAATCTGGCTTTGCAATCCTTACTAACTATCATACAGCAGTTGCAACTAAATTGATTGCTTCAATTTGAGTAAAGTTGTGCAGGCCATGGTCTGCTACTTAGTTGTTGAGGATCTCTAAAATCCCAGCAGGAGTTCTTCTCCTACCCCTGTTGCAGGTGTGACACACCTTGCTCCACACAGAGATAGGGGAATGTCCCCTGCCAGGACCTTAATACAACAAGGGATCCACATATCACCCAATGTCACCAAGGATGGAGCCTTCTGTTTTAGGCAGAGTTGCTGTTAAATGATAGCCTTTAAAAGGCAGAACATTAAGAATTATAGCCATGTCTCTGGAGATCATTCATAGGATAATTATCGGTTCCCCCTTACTAGGGTCAGGGTGGTAGCTGTTGGCCTACTCTCCTGCAGTGCATGAACATGCCAACTTGAGTGATACAAATGTACACATTCATGGAATGATGTTCAACCTCTGTCTTATGTATATGAACATCATACATATGTACATTTCTCTCAGTGCTAGAAATCATTTATGAGACAAATACAATTTGTAGAATTTTCATCTATTTTGATAAAGATATTGGATTAGAATAAAATGTGGTTATGTACAACTAGTGTGTCAACCACATTTTATTCTGTTGTTTCCAGAAGTAGATCGACATTGCTTTACAAATTTGAAGAACATTGATTTGTGTGTCTAGAGATGCCGTGATTTTCCTCCAGTTCTTAGGAGATGTGAAAATGCACCTTGCCTCTCCTATAATTAAATGGCACACTTCCAGGAGTTCTCAACCGTAAGCTATTTTTATTATCAAGCTTGCAATGTTAAGTTCAGCTTTATATTTTCCAGCCTTGCAATTTGCAAAATTGAAAATGTGTCAGTTAGTTCCTAAATTCCATTTTGCTGCCAGTCTATCTGAGCAGCTGTAACAGCTGCTATTTGTTTATGCAGAAGCTGGCACTAAAGGTGCCCACAGCTACTACTGGCAAAAAGCTGGATGAAATGAAAGGTGGACTGCTGAAGTTAGAAATTTTTTGTAATTGTTGCATTTGGAAGGACACCGCAGTGTACATTATTGTTCTAGGTTAGATTTTATTTTTGGCTCGTGAATAGATTCCTTTTAGTAGCTGGTCTGCTGCATAGTTACCAACCTTTACAAAAATATCTGGGGGCATCCAGGGTGAATGGAAGCTTGTCATGCATAGCAGTGATACGCAATTGTAATTTGTTACTAGTAACTAGTTATGATTGGCTCAAAAATGTCTGATTATTAAGTGCTTATCTATTAGAATTTACATTTATATTTGCCTCTTATTTAGCTTTACTTTGTCTGAACCTGGGATATCAGCTTGTGTGTCAAGATGAGAGGTCACCTGACATCACACAAATGCTTCCTTCCCTGACCTCACACACTGTCTAAGGCTGCCGATACACCTTGCGATCATCGGACGACACTTTTCGTCCGATGATCGAACCGTCGTACGATTTATGTACGACGGCCCCATCCTGCCCCGATTATCGCAAGCTTGGATCAGCGGTAATTAAAAGAAAGCACCTGGACGAATTGCGGTAATCGACCGCACGTATTTTCGTCTGCGCATGTGCAGTGTAAATCGTACAAATTTTGACGTACGGAAATGCCATCAACCTTGCGAAAATCGTACGATCGACCAAAGTTTTCTAACCTGCTGGTTAGTCAAAAGTCGATCGATTGTACAGTATTTGCGGTTGTAGAATGCCCATCAACCTTACGAATATCGGATGAAAACGCGATCGCAAACGAAAATCAACTGATATTCGTAAGGTGCATGGCACCTCAACAACGCATTTGAGGATTAATAATAGAGATCTAAGTAGATCTCTAAATAGAGACCCTAAGTATACACGGCTAGATTTTCACATGAACATCCATATGGCAAATCCTGTTGGAATGTTCGATAATGCCATCAGAGACTTGGTGATTGTTGTTCGAAATTATGTTTGATTTTCGTTTTTATTTAACGTTTGACTTTGGAATTGATGGAGTTTTTTTTACAACTGAAAACCACATTCACTGTTAGAATTTAGTTCGATCAAGTTACGTTTCCAACACGCTCCTTCATATTTTTTCATCATTGCGATTGAAATTGATCATTGATTTGACCTCATCAACGATTAGAAAGTGGAACAAATGTTCCAAAATCGATTTTGGTTGTTTGAAATTCTAACCATGTATACGCAACGTAATAGAGATCTCTGGCTTTCTATGTTTCACATAACTATGGAACTCTGCAATTTGAAAGTCTTATGCACTTCCAGAATTTGGAAAACATTGTTTGAGGTCAGGCAGTTAACAAGGCAGTAATTGTCAGACTGAAGGTGACTCCCGACTCCTGACACTCAAGGTAAAGTGCAGGCTAAAATAGGGGAGCAAATATACATCGTTCCTACGACTGCACAATAATAAAATAATAATAATTTAAGGTGAAATATTCAGGTTCTTGCATACAAGTATTACTCACTATTAAATATTAACTTAAAAAGAACAGAAAATGTGATACAAATTGCAGGAAAAGAGGATTTTCGTGGTAGTTAGTTACTACTAAAGCTAGGAACATATCCAAGGACTGATCTGATGGTAACTAAGATGTCAGGAAGTCAATCCCCATTGTATTAACTTTCCAGTTCTGATATTTTTCAGATTTCTTTTACCCATATTATTTTTGTAAAAGTAATTTCAATTCTAAAACTGCATTGTGAATAGCTCTTATTCTGTGCTCTTCTACAGTATGATGCATTGCTCACAGCTTATGTGAAAGTATGATGTATCATATGATATAATGTATTTCTGGTCCCTTGAGTCCTCTCCTTCTGATATAACTTCCACATCCAAACAAAGGTTTCTCTTCTCGCTTTACTGCTTGTCCTCACTCCCTTGTCCCTGGTAACAAATTCTCCTACTCCTGCATCCTTAACATCTACTTTCCATGTTTTACCTATAATTTACCTATAATTTGTTTATTTGCATTCATTTATTGTAATAATTATTTTATTATATTTTATTTACATGACATAACTATACATCATTGCCTTATTCCAACTGTTTTTTCGCTGCTCATGTATATTTCTTGTTTTTATGTCCCATGCCATTCAATCCGGATAATTGTCTGATGACTGTCTCCCTCTATTTGCACATTACATTGTACACTTTGCCCCCTCTTCACATTCTTCTCCCACTCCCTTTGGTTTGGTATCTCCCTGTGCCCTCTTTTTGGCTCCTGCTCTTTATAGATGTGTGTCCTGTGGATAACGCCAATGTTCTACACACGCGTCATGGTGCTGACAATCTCTTCACAGCCGTGAATGCCCTGACAGGCATGAGCCCTTCTTCATCCATGTCTGGCTTGTCTAGTCGAGCTGCGTCTGTTTGCAGCCTGCATGACCGCCTTGCGTTCACCCCCGGCAGTGAAGAAGCTATTGAGAGGCTTAAGGTAGGTTTAAAAATATACTCTTTTAATCATTATGTTGTACCAGAATGTATTACATGTTTGGGTGATGCTATCAAAATATTGAGGTCTGGCAGTTTAAAGGTTCTTATGCCTTTAGTCAGCTTTTAAAGACATATTTATAAAGTTTCTTCTGTTATATTAACCCTGAAAATTGCTGACTAGGGATGCACCAATACCGGTATTTTGGTACCGAGGAGGAGCACCGATAATTTTTTTCCGGTACTCGCCGATACCAATTACCGAGTAACGGAAGTCCCATTCAGGAAGCCAGGATGGCGTGTAATGACTCGCCACCTGGCTTCCTGATTAGCCGGGAAGCCGGGCAGCGTGTAAAGACTCGCCACCCGGCATACCTTGGTATGTTCAGCCTGTCACCCCCGGGGCCTCTCCAGCCAGAACGCGGCCTTCCTCCGGTACTCAGTCGGAGCCGTCTGGCCGGCCAATCAGGAAGCCGGGCGCCGTGTAATTACGTGACACCCTCCTTTCTGATTGGCCGGGAGGCCGACTCCATGCTCCCTTGTCATGCGATGGCGAGGGAGCTTGAAGCCAGCTTCCGGCCAATCAGAATGCCGGGCGCTGCGTCATTACACAGCGCCCGGCTTCCTGATTGGCCAGCTTCCCGACCAATCAGGAGGCCAGGCAGCGCGTCATTACATGCTGCCCGGCTTCCTGATTGGCCGGGAAGTCGGCTCCATGCTCTGTCATCACAAGTGGCGAAAGAGCATGGAGCCGCTTCCCGGCCAATCAGGAAGCAAGGGCAGCGTGTAATGACGTGCTGCCCGCTTCCTGATACAGGAAGTACTCGTGCTAGGCATTGGAGCATTTGGTATCGGTATCGGTGCATCCCTATTGCTGACCACCTTGTTCCAAGTTTTTTTCAGTAAACCGAACCTTCTCTGTGAAGCCCAGTTCATATTTGCCCCCTTACTTATTGTTACTTACTTTATCTGACATTACAATAGAGTGCCAGAGGTCAGAGGTTACCTGAAGTCTAATAGTTGCCACCTTGCCAACTGTTGGACCTCTCATGCCAACTCCTGAATCTATAGGTCAGGCTATCGGACTTCAGTTGATCTCTTACCACTGATGCTAAAGCCAAAGTGTAAGGTGCAGGCAAAGTTAAAAGTATAACTTAAGGCTCCTGTAAAACAGCCTAAACAAGTCCCAAACCCAGTTACTATGTGATGCAGAAGCACCATAGAAAATAACAAAACCTTTCTTTACTTCTCCTGACTGCAATCCCTTCTTTATTTGTGTGTCAAATGCTCTCCCTTTTAGAAACTGCAGCTCACAGTGGGAAGGTTTCAGCAACAGAGGCAGTGCTGTCAATCCAAAAAACAGTGGGCAGGACTAGGTGTGGTCAGGTGTTGATTGGTAATACTTATAGCGACACCCCCCATAACACTCTCACTGTAGTACAAGCCCACATAGCATGCATGAGCGTGGCAACTCTGCTCTGAAGTCTGGAGCAGTGCAGCACTGCAGTATTAATTTAGTCGACTAAAATGTTTTGTCATAGTTTTCGTCATTTGCATGCTTTCACTGATGAAAACTAAATAAAAACTAAAGGGTCTATTCAGAAAGCTGCAGAAGGATCCAGCCGTAGCTTTGGCTGATCCTTCGGCTAGCTTCGGTTGTGGGAGCCCTTCAGTTCAGTCGAACTCGAAGGGCTGCTGTATAGGCTATTCACTACATCCCGTACAGCACTCGACGGTGACCGAGTGGCTCAGCCGAGCCGAAGGCATTTGCTTTGGCTTGACTGAGCTGAAATGTCAGCCGAAGCGGGGCAAACAGCCAGCCGAAGGCTCCGCCCAACTGTTTACATTTGTCCGCAACCTGACATTCTGCCCTCAGGCCCTGAACAAATCAAAACACATCGGCGGAGCCAGCCGTGACATCACTGTTGACGTTAGCTGTTGTCATGTAATGACAGCCCAGTGTCTTTAAGGATGCTGGGCTGTCATTAAAGGACAACAACTGGGCGGAGCCAACCGTGACATTATGGCTGGCTCCACCCAGCTGTTGTCTTATGCGGGAAGAACGGTCGGCTTAAGCCGACCTTTCTCCCCGCTTCGGCTGTCACTACGGCTCAGCCAAGCCGAAGCATATGCGTTTGGCTCGGCTGAGCTTCTTGGCCGCCTTTGGCTGCTGTACGGGCTATTGCGAATAACCCGTACAGCAGCCCTTTGGTGCCACTGAACCGAAGGGCTCTGGCGGCCGAAGTGAGCCAAAGGATCGGCCGAAGCTATGGCTTGATCCTTCGGCTCAATAGTGAATAACCCTCTAAATTAACACTGCAGCATTGTTGCACACCATAACAGGACACTGCATTAGGTGGACTTCACTGGCAGGGATTTGTGGGACTTTGCAGGGGGACTAAGAGAAGTGCAGGTCCACTTATATTTAAGTGCTTCAGCATATATATTTTATAATGGTAAGCCATTGATCTAGTATGAGTATAGAAAAAAGGTCTATAAATCACTGAGTAGCCTTTCTCTCTAAGAGTAGTAAAAAAAATGTGTTCACTTTTTTCTGGGAAACTTCTTTGATGGTGTTTAGTCCATTTCCATGCATTAAGACTCACCTTTCATTTTGATAATGCAGGAAACAGAGAAGATCATTGCTGAGCTCAATGAAACCTGGGAAGAGAAGCTTCGCCGCACAGAGGCTATTCGTATGGACAGGTAACTTTTTAGTAGCTAGAAATACAAAAGGATATTCTAGTAAATTCTGCCTCCTGTAACACCGCTAAAAAGAATCCTGTCATAAGAAAATAAGCAGATGCCGTCCCTGTTTTTCTGCTATTTTCTGACCTTCATATTTATGCTTTGGCTTCAGTACTTTATAAATATAATAAGATTTTATTAGATTCATAAATAACAGCATTGATAGGACCAGCCCTATTCACATATCCTTATACATATACATACATACATACATACATATACAGTATCTCCATACGTATACATACATTTTCAAAGAAAAAAGGCTGTAACTATCTATTATCATAATTTTATATAATTGTATCCCTTTTTATTTATATATATATACATATATATATAGCA